AGAAACAAAGAATGAACGTTACAAGGGAGACAATCCGTCTAGATTGTTTATTAGATGTTTACCAGATTGTCTATATGCTTGTTTGTCCCATAATTATTGTACAACAATCATAAAACATTTGTCATGTAAAAAATGGCATATCTACAGAATTAAAAAAAAACCATACTGTTATTATTCAACCTCCGTCATCGTGCACAGTGTCTAGATCTACTTAACTTAATGTCTCTGTGATTTTGTTTAAATATTACAGCTATGTTGATCTTTTAAAATAGGAAAAAAATTTGAAACGTAGGGTTTAGAAAATCAAAATTTTCTGGGACAAAAATATTTGATTTAAACATTTTAACAAGGTCTGTTTATTCTATACATGTAGACCTACATGGAAGATGAGAAATCCGATTGTTTTACATTTTCAAATTGTTTCCAATCTTAAACATAGATATACTTACAGTTTCCTGCAAAAAATGAACAAAATTCTTAACAACATCTGACATTATTTTTAATATTTACATGATTTAACGGATCATTTTTTGTTTACGCGCACCATTGTTTTAAAACTTGTGTAACGCCATTTGATTAAAAGATGCTGACAGTTTAGAAGAGTTAAGTGAAGAGTAACAGTTACAGTTCTTCAATGGATAATTCGTGCCAATTGTCACCTAATTCCAATCTGTTACCTATCAAAAAAGGTTCAAAAGGGTAATTTGGATTAGATAATGCAAAATGGCCATAACTCAAATCAGTTATCATTACTTTTGACAGTATTTTCATTAAGAATTTTTATGTTCTTTCTACATGAAGTCTTAGCTTAAGTCTCAATATAAGGCCTAGTTTTAAGCAAACAATAAAATGCCATCAAAGTGCGAGAAAGGAAAACAAACCAGAATCATTTTTAAGGAAGAACACACTTTAAAAAAACAAGTAAATATAACAGCAAGTTTGAGTATTAAACAGGTATTATTTCCTAGAGGAATAAGGGCTACCTGTTCACCCATGGCAACATCAAGACCAGTGTATATCTAATGATGAGTATTGGGGGAGACACGCCCACTGCAACCGTCCCCCGAAACACCCTCACCCTTTAAGCATAGCAAAGTTCCAGAATACATGCATACAATTATAGTAAAAGAAAAATAACCTACACGAATGATCACTCCTGCATATAAAAACATTTTCCTGAAGATGAAAAAAAAACCTGATGCATTCTAGCACTTTTATCAATGTCCAATATTATGAAAATACTAAAATAAGAAAAAGGGCATAATAGAAATTTAACACATGAAGGTTTTTGCTAAAAAATTGTTTGGTTTCATTACATACAGCTAAGACTATTGTTTAAGTTTGGAGGCGTTATATAATGCATTTAAAGGCATTTTGACCTTAAGCCGCCTCTTTATGACAACCCCGACATTTGAATGAATTCAACATCCACAGAGTGATAAGATATTTACCATCAACTGCCGTTCTGCAGACAAGGTGCGTATAATCAAAATACATCGGCCACGTCAAGTTCAGCTACTTTTCTACAAGTTGTTCACTAGCATCGAGAAATAAATGTAACGTCTCTGGTGAAACTGTTCTGTCTTTAACCAACTTAGATATCATGAGTTTAGTCGTATACATGGATATCTTAAAATATTTTATATGATAATAGCTGAATTCAATACCTTGTTAAATAAAAATTGAAGCTAATCGAAATTGTACAGTTTTTATTTCTGCACTGTAAAAATACTAAATTATTTAATACTTCAAATGCATTATTATTCATTGGACACCAATTTCGTTGTTTTCATGGATAGGTCAATCAACAAATTTAAGATCAAACAAAGTTTCATTTTATCTGCTTTAAGATTATTTTACATTACATTATTTATATTTTACCTTTTATAAATAAACTAGACTGTCAACAAACGTAGGAGCCCACACAAAAATATTGTTATTGACAAAACCACAAAATTTCATTTCCACGGAATTTAGTGAATTTACAGTACTCCGTCTAGTGAAATTATGAGATATATTTTAACAGCAAAGTATACAAAGATAAAGGATATTTAAACTTGGCAGGTTTTATTTGTTTTATTCCGAACAAAGAAATATATGATAAAATTCTATTTGCAACAATGGATTCTATATAGCACCCAGCTGTAAATTAAAAATTCATAAAACGTTAAAATATCTGTAAATTTGAAGGTAAAACTTAATGAGATAATAAGTTTTAAGATAACCATTCAAAATTAACTAGAAGGGTTTTTGTCACAAAAACATATGTCCACCAAAACTATGTATGGTCACTCATGTGAAGTTTCATTAAAATCCCACCAGTAGTTGGACCTGTAAAGGCTGGACAAGATCTTTTTTATGTTAAGCTCAGGCGTCCATTTTGTGCAGCGAAGCAGAATGTGACAGTGATGTGCACAACTACACATGGTACTGATCACTCCTGTAAAGTTTATTTGACAACCCACGAGTAGTTTGACATGTGAAGGGCGTACAAGAATTTTCTATTTTTACCTCTGGCGGCCATTTTGTGCAGCGAAGCAGAACGTACCGGTGATGTGCACAACTAGGAATGGTACTGATCACTCCTGTAAAGTTTGATTGAAATCCGACCAGTAGTTTGATCTGTGAAGGGCGGACAAGATTTTTCTATTTTTAGCTCTGACGGCCATCTTGTGCAGCGAAGTGGAACGTGCCAGTGATGTGCACATCTAGGGATGGTACTGATCACACCTGTAAAGTTTGGTTGAAAACCCACCTGTAATTTGACCTGTGAAGGGCGGACAAGGTTTTTCTATTTTTAGCTCTGACGCCCATTTTGTGCAGCGAAGTGGAACGTGCCGGTGATGTGCACAACTAGGGATGGTACTGATCACTTCAAGAAAGTTTGATTAAAATCCCACCAGTAGTTTGACCTGTGAAGAGCGGACAAGCTTAATGCCAGCGGACAACGACGGACAGACAGACAGACGGCGAAGACAAAATAATATGTTTCCAAAATTTTTGGGAGACATAACTATATAACTTCTTACAGCAAAATCAAGCAAAATTCAGACATTTGACTTTGAATGTCAAGGCAATTTATGAATAAAAGTCAAGGTTAGTTTAGTGTTCCAGAGGATCTTGTTGGTAAGTATGAAGACAATTCATCAAGAAATAAAAACGCATGATCGATGTTAAAATATTTGGACAGCAACGGTAAAATGCAAATCAACTGCTACTGTTACCTGAATGCCCATATGACCTTGACAATAACTCCTTTTTTCAAATAAGATATATGACTAAATTTTCATCAAAAGAATTATCTTTACATAATTGTTTGTACATTAATATAAATTTTCTCATTAAAATTCCGAAAATTTTCACACAAACAATGCAGTCATTACTTAAGTGTTTTTTAATAGTTACCGTCTTCAAATTTCTAATTATTATACAAAATTCATACCAATGTAAGCATTATATGCAAACTATGTCAGTTGTGTAAACAATAAGTATGCTTTCTTAATTTCTTGTGTCTTCCATAATTTTAGATTGCAATGTCTGAAAAAACAATTTTAATTGTATCTAAAAGTTAACCAATGATAAATTAAAAACTCCCCTAATAACGATATTTAAGGGACCATTAAGGTTTAAAGAGGCAGCCAAATTGAAAACAAGGATCAGGATTGGGGCAACATCATTTTATACGGCATATCTTCTTAAGTGATATCTTTTTAAGAGACGTTTACTAAACAGTTATTTTTCTCTGTAAACCTGATTGTACATGCAATAGTCTATAGATATTTTTGAATCATATGTTTACTGAATAATTTCCCAATTGGTTAAATAGATAGAACTTTATATTTTTATTTATTTCTTTATTATGTGTCTATTTTTCTTAAATTAACAGGGGAAATAACTAGAAATAAATTTTACGACAGGAAGAAGAAGTCATTTCCCCTTTATATTTTCATTCAAAACAAAAATAGAAAGTAAAAATAGTATTATTCCCAACTTTTTCTTGTCAAACAGAAAGTCAATACAATGTATTGATTATTTTCATTAAACAGTATCTAATCCAAGTAAATTTAAGATTTATCTTTAATCACATAATTTCACATTAAAATCAGTAGATTTTATAGAAGAACATATATCAGTTAAGTCTTATAATTCCATTTATATTTTCTTTTAAGTGGGGAAATAATCAAATATAATTTTATAACAGGAAGAGGAAATCAATTATTTCCCCTTCAATTTTTTAGTCAAAACCAAAAGAGGAAGTAAAAATAGTAAAATTTCCAACTTAAAATCTTGTCAAACAGAAAGGTAATACGATTTCCTGATCATTTTCACTAAAAATATTCAATCCAACTTTCAAAGTAAGTTAAAAATATCTTTAAACACATATTTTCACATTAAAATAAGTACATTGTTACAGATGCATATCAATTAAGTCTAATAGTTTCATTTATATTTTCTTTTAAGAATGGAAATAATCAAATATTATTTTACAATAGAAATAAGAAGTGAATTATTTACCCTTTATATTTTCATTCAAAACCAAAGGAAGAAGTAAAAAAGAGAAAATTTCCATTTTTTATCTTGTCAAACCGAAATTTAATACATTTTCTTGATTATTTTCACTAAATGATATCCAATCCAACTTTCAAAGTTAGTTTAAATTGATCATTTAATACATAATTTCACTTAAAAATAAATACATTATTATATCAGAAATTATTTAATTGAATATTATTAAGTTAGCCAATGTTTAATAAATTATCTTACAATTCAAGTTACAATCTTAGTATGACACTGAAAACTTTAAAACTGATACTGATATCTACCTCAATCATATAAACTGTCATAGAATTAAAAATGGCTGCCTTGTACTGTTTTGATCTAAGGCATCAAGGACAAATAAGGAACAAGTAGAGGAATGTGACATTATAAACTTAGGAATGTGACATTATAAACTTATTGACTGACAATAACAATTTTACATTTTACTTATGTATTACAGAATGTTTCAAGAACCTGACTACAGAGAAAACCTATCATTGATGTTATCACAGGTTTTAGATGACATTGGTGTCAATGAAAGCATAGTGATAAGAAGGAGAAGAATGAACATGCTGACAGAGACTATGAATTATATCACAAACAGGTTAATTAATCAAAATTTGACTGTATATTATCTTGGGAGTCAGAGTGAAGGTACAACTACTATAGGACTACACTCCGATTCTGATATACTTATCTGTGATTATGGTTACAATATAATACAAGACTGGTCAGAGTGGGAGCATTGCAAAACAAACTACCTCATGATACAGGATGAGAACACCACCCCTGGTTATTGTTTCTTACAACTGCTCCGACATGATGAACCTTTTCCTGCCACTGTCATTCCTGATAGACACCATATAACAGATAGAAGTGGACGAATTTTGTTGAAAAACACAAAAAGTAATGGTATCATTCCGGGTTCTGTAGATCACGGACCCTCAAATGCTATACAAGGACAACCTGGAATCGTCGATAAAGACCATGTGTTAGCTTATCCTTGTAAATCATGGCCTCAATCAGCATCATGTTGGTTAGAGAGACAAGGTATTGGTAGATGGCCAACACAAGACATGAGAAGATATGCAGCCAGTACAGGGTGTTTTGTTGTTGCAACTGGAAGTAAGGTCGGTGTTTATCCAGAACTGGAATGGAGAATATCTACGTCCCTGGCAGAAAGATGTTTGATGTCAAATCTAAATATAACACAAATAAGGTGCTATGTATTATTGAAAATAATTCTTAAATCCTTCCTTAATCCTCAGGCAGAAATCAATATATCAAGTTTCATGTGTAAAACAGTTCTATTACATTGTATAGAAAACACAGAGCAAAGTATATGGAAAAATAACAATTTATTTACATGTTTAACATACTGCTTATTAGAATTACATGCTTGTGTACAGAATGACTGTTGTTCACATTTCATTGTCCAAGAAAACAATTTAATGGCAGGGCAATTTACAGCTGAAAAAAAACATGACCTTTTAAAATATATAACTGAATTGATACAGAGTGATGGAAATGGGTTACTTATAATAGATATCGATGATCTTGGTCAAAGACTGCAGGTTAAACTGAACATGGTACCACATGGAGGATACAATTTTCAGTCTTTACTTGAAATACATAAAAATTTAATGATCCAAACATATGTAAACATTGCAAACATTGCTGGTCAAACAGGCGAATGTCATAAGTTTGTTTTATACTATTTACACAATAAAAGCATTATGACAATTAAGCAATCTGTTAGTAAACTTATGACCTTCAGAGATAATGGTAATAGATTTCAACATGCTGCATTCAAGATTCTAGCACCTTTTATCTTTACTACATATGGATCTGTCCTGGCATCTTCCAGCATTGGTGAAAATAATCAAGTGTCACCTGAAGCACTGGTCTGGTTATCAGCTGGTTTAAACTCAGATATCTCATCTAGCAGACTTAAATTGGCATCAGTATTCTACAGTACAGGTAATATGGAGAAAGCTGAACTTATTCTGATACACACTGAACAACAATATTATTCGTATCCTCTTTTACCTATCTGTAACTGCTTGCATAAGCAAATACATGTAACAGCAGAATTCATGTGGGTATGTGGTGAACAAAGTGAGGATTGTATTAAACATATAACAGCATTTTGTGTCAGATTTATGCATCAAGAGATCAACTGTGTTCCTCGTGAACTACAATATGAAATGTTCAGATCTACACAAGATGACATGATACACAGAGATAAGTATAGAGACTATTGGATGAACTGGGCTGTAGTTGACTCTTTACCTTTCCTGTTCTTTCTACAATACAAGATCTACAGTCATCTACAAAAACACCAAGATCAGCAACAAGCGCTTAGTAAACTTATAAGAATCATAGTAACGGATAAGAACCTTGAACATAGAGAAACAGCATTCAACATTTTAGGACAATGTATGGAACAAGAAAACACACATCAACAGGCATTAAATTGCTACCTGCTTTCTCTTCAGCTAAGGGCAAGAAACAATGCAGCAAAGTTCCATATATGTAAGCTCTTTTCTAGGATATTGGCTGGCCGTTAAAACATGTGGTCAAAAGCAGACAATTTTAAGACTTGAATTTCTATTGATCATAGTTATAATTCTTGTGTGTATCAAGTGATTCAAATGTCAAAATATGTGTTTTTATAATTCTTTTTGTTACACTCTAATGATTTTCACATGAATTATCAAATCAGAAAAAGATATCTTAATAGAACGATTTTAGTATTCTAACAATACAATTCTGTTTCTAAAAGCAAACAAATCAACAATTTAAACAAACCTTGGAAAATAAAAAATAACAGAAAAAACTGTATTTAAATAATTATTTTTTTAAGAATATCTGTGTAGCCACATTTGATGTTTAGTTCAAGAATAAATCATTTACATTAAAAATGACAAAGATAAGAACATGCAGAAGAACATCTATGTGTCGGCCTTCGATTAATCAATTTGCTCGATTTGTCGAAAAAAAATGAAAGCCCCAATTTTCCGCCTATATATTCATGATAAATGAGTCGAAATTTTATGTGTAGAATTTTTCGATGTGTCAAAGTTTATTCCTGGTACGTATAGAATTGATCGAGTGCTAATTACCACAAATAAGCCGAAGTCCTTTAGTTATTTTGACGTCTTTGATCTCGAGAAATTTTAACACATTTTCCGCCTACTTGATGATTGACAATTAATTGTCTGACAAATGTTAATTACTTAAAAATTTTCCAACAAAAAGTTTGTGGTGAAGACAAATCTATTGACTCTGATTCCACAGAAATGACCAAGTAGAAATCTAAACTTCAGACCTATCTGACTCAGAATGTGAACCACAGAACATTTACAATGCTGTTGAAACTGGCCAGTTCTTTAGAATGTTGCTAATTCAAAGATGTTCAGTGCCTGGGTGGTAAAATAAAAAGGATGGCTTAGCAATTATGGTTTGCGCAATCATGATAGAGTCTGAGAAAGAACCGCTTTTTGAGATAGGAAAATGATCTTTCAAAAAATCTAAAAAAAAATCAACTAGGAAGTGTCTGACCTCTGGTGTTTCGTTTGAACAATACACATCAGCCAATGGCAGTGTTCTAGTATGCGCTTATCTCACTGACAAGGAAATCATTAATGACGTTTTTTTACAATGTCAATCTCATGATGAAACTCTTCTTGATGATAACAACGACAATGAGCTGCATACAAGACTAGGAGTGACAATTTTCGAAATCATGACTGGTTAGTTGCTATTACTTAGGGAAAACAACAGTTCCAAAAGATGTGTACATATAAAGAAATACAAAGACCCCTGGGCGGGCCAATTTTGACCAAAATGCTTTTATATGACAAACTTTGTAAACACTCACTGGAAGATAGTTCATGCTAAATATCTAAGCTCTAGTTCTTTGTGTGTGTTTTTTTTTTTTTTGGGGGGGGGGGAATATATCATTTAAGTTTTTACTATATATATTTAAGAAAACCCTATAAGCCCCAAAAGCGAGGACAATTTTGGCCATAGGGCTTTTACTTGAACGAGTTTGGTAGACACTCAAAAGAAGTTGTTTCATGATTGAGATCTAAGTTCTAGCTAGTTTTTCAAAAGACGATTTTTTAATATTTTTGTTTTAGTTTCCATGGCAAAAAGAGTTCTTCATAGAATTTAATTCTTTGACCACCAAAGGAACATTCCTGTGAAGTTTGGATGAAATTGGCTTAGTGGTTTATGAGATGTCCTTTTAAAGTAAAAGTTTATTGACCGCAACGGACGAAAAGCGATCAGAAAAGATCACCTTGTCACTTTGTGACAGGTGAGCTTAAAATGCAGTGCTCTCCATCATATCAGATGCATTAATCGCCGTAATAATGATTTTTATAGGAAGCCGTTGCTAGAAAAACTTCTGTCAAAATATTACGCAGAACCGAAGACAATGATATTGGAATACCTTGAAATTCCATTCCTTTATTGCAGTAATATTATACATTTGTTAACAATAGTGGAATATCATGAATTTCCGTTCGTATTTTGTATTATATGTATGTCTCTTGTTGTAGTCATAATCTCCGTAGGCAATACACAAAAAAGGAAAGAAATGTTACGATAAACCTTAAAGTTTGTGGAAGAGAACTGGATCGCCGACATGAAAAAAGTCAAACTTAAACTCATTTATTAGTCATAACTCTGACAAAATTTTTATCGGAAAATGTCGTCATTCCTGTAAAAATGGATGAAATTGCACAAGTGATATTTGGGAAGTCCGAACAAGAGTTTGACAAACAGACATACGACAAAGACACTGCCCTAAACCTTTTTACGATGTGAACATTAGCACATTAACAATAAATTTCTTTGGGTCATGCCAGTAGTTGAATATTTTTGCGACTAAAATAGAAAACTGAACCAATTATTAATTTAGAACTGCCACTGCCATGGCGTGAATACCCAAGCATACCACTGTCAACAGAATCAACAGTGGTCATTTAAAGTTTAAGGACAACCTCCAAGCCAAATATGATGGTAGTAAGCCAGTGCATTGCTATGTTATGTATTCTACATGTTTTAGTGGCAAATATTAAAGTGACCTTTACCTTTAACCTACTGACCTCAAAACTGAAACTGCCACTGTATGACTTGAATATCCCCATTCATGCAGCTTTACCTGCGGTTGTTTTATGATGAATATATGAGAACGTAATTAATTGTTTCAAATGCGAAAATATCAAAACCAATACAATGTGGACAGGCACTCTTATGCATTTGAACAGACAAGCTTATTGTTGTAAAATCCCCTGTGACCTTGACCTTTGGCACTGTCACCTAAGGATCTATAGGGGTCATGTAATAGTCATAACCAACCTCAATACTAAATATGAAGTCTGATGACCAAAGCATTCTTAAACAATTGAGCGCACAAGCCTTTGAACTAAAGGTCTCTGTGACCTCGACTATTGACCCAGTGACTTCAAAATAGATAGGATCACTTAATGGTCAAGATCAACCTCCATACCAAATATGAAGACTGTGGTCAAAGGATTCTTAAGTTATTTGGCGGACAAGCCTTTTTTTCGTCAAGGCCCTACTGACCTTGACCTTTGACCTCAAAATCAATAGAGGTCATACACAAACCATAACAAACCTCAATACCAAATATGAACTCAACAGCAACATGGGTCACCAAATGGTCATGACCAACCTCCATGCCAAATATGAAGACTGTGGGTCAAAGGAATCTTAGGTTATTGGACGGACAAGCCTTTAGAAGTCAAGGCCTCTGACCTTTGACCAGGAGACCTGAAAATCAAAAGGGATCATCTAATAATCATGATTAACCTCAATATAAAAACATATGAATACTGTGGGTCAAATAATTCTTTAGTTATTGGGCTGACAAGATTTTTTAGTCAAGGCCCCTGTAACCTTGACCTGTGGACCTTGAAATCAATAGGGGTCATCTGCTAATCATAACTAACCTCCATGCCATATATGAAAACGGACAGCTGGACGGACAAGCTGATTCCATTGAACACCCCCTTAAAACTTGCTGTGCAGGGGTATAATAATATAATGTTATTTTGACTTAACTCTTGGGGTTTGATGGGGAAAACATCACTTAAGAAAAGTAAAAAAAGGTTGATAATAATAAATGACACACGCTTTAGAAGACTGACATCAAACTATCACAAATGCTTTAATTTTAGGACTAGCTCAGCTTGACAGCGTTACATATACCAGTGCTTAAATAAATTTGTTAGTGCTCAAATAAAACAGTAGATCTACCAAAATTTATATGTAAGTCACAAACTTGCATTCCATACAATTGTTGTCAGTTGTGTAAAGGACATTTTAAAACAAAGCATGATTATTTTAAGAATTATTTTTCCAATTCAAGTTACATGTTATATAATAATATATTTATATATACAAAATTTAGCTTGCACAAAAAACAATATAAAAATAGTATAAATGATAAAAATGAACAGTTCAATAGTCAAATTTCTTTTAAAAACTTATTATATAGCGGGACAAATAAACATGAAATAAAAAAGTAAGTATTAAAAAAAAATCAAAGGTTATTTTTTAAATAAAATCATGTATATTATACTCAAGCAGGTTTTAAACATGTTCAAGGATGTAAGCATGCCTGACAGACAATATGTTACTATTTATAGCTATTTACACAATGTTACTATTTAAAGCTAGTCAAACAATATGTTACTATTTATAGCTGTGTAGTTACTAAAAATACGCAATATGCTGTATGAGGACTTAAATAGGTGTTGTTTTTTTTTTGCATTCACAAACAGAAGGTGGATGGGGCAATATAGATCAGTACAAACCTGAACTCTTTTACTTATATTGAGCCCTTCAAAGCTTTCTGATTGGGTATAAGGGGAGACAAATTTACTGGTGGACCGGTTGTCATGGTAGCCGTCTCCCTTGGTTACACCTTTCTGCATAAGCGATAAGAAAAGTAAATAAATGCAGGTTATGAAATGAGAGTCCATGATATTTAAATTATATACAAAGTCAATCTTCAAAGTAGTTTACTCGATACTACAAAGTATCTTTAGTAACTTATATAATAAAAAAATCCGGTAGCTTAAAAAGAGAGAAAAAGAATTAGATTGAATTCAACAACAGAATATTGAAATAATTCACATTAGACTGGAACAAGAAAATCACAATTCTAAATGCACAAGGGATGCCACTTTTTTTCAAAATCCAAAGTTACACCCATCTTTCAAATACGTAAGTTTAGTTTTCAAGAAAATAATTATTTTTTTTTTGGGGGGGGGGGGTGGCAGGGAGGGGGTTTAAAAATGGAAACTCATAAATACTCCGCAGAATAAATTAATAGTAAATCAAGACCTCAATTCAGCTTAAAAGATCAAAATGTCAAACAAAGCTTTAGTCTGATATCAATTTTTGTGCTTTTTCAGCTTTGGCACAACAGTCAAAACAATGAGCTACAATTTTCGAACAAAATATAATAATACAGGTAAATTTGATGGGATATTTTCAATGGCACTGACCATCCCACTTCAACTGAGAAAATTCCCCATGATACATTACTTATATATCTGCATTTTCTTCGCCCCAAAAAGAGGTCTTTCTAGAAAAGACAGGGCCGGCAATTATTTTTTTATCTTAAGCATTTCTTAACTTAACAGTATGATATCTATGTAGTAAATTCTTGAAAATTTCCACTTTTCTGTACAGGCTCTTGGACAACCCTGGCAAGACGGGCAATTGATTTTGCCGTCCCTGTAAATCATTAATCCGAGGCAGAGTGGTTAAGCAGT